TATTGCTGTAATACTAACACAATCAGCTCAGTTTACTTTGTCCCAGTTATGGTGAAATAAAAACGTGTCTACATTCATTACCATTTCCATCAGGCTGAACCCATACAACTCGATACGTTGCAACAGCATATGCTTTGATGGACATTGGAATCAGTTTTGTGTGTCTTCATAGAGCCATCGGTTTTAGTCAAATATCATGATAAATAATCATTTTCAGATTTATACTCGTCCGTGGTTAATCAAGGGAGCGAAAGGAGTTACCAAAACAATCCAAAACCAGTTCAAAACCTATGTTTGGGTAAGATGATCCAAAATAAGAACTGATACACATTCCCTAATATACATAAATTACAAACAACAAACCAGAAGCATGCCTTGAGTCATTTTTACAATTGTTTGGGTAACTATGGCCCGGGCTTGCTAAATATACCCACTTGCTTAACATGCCATAACATTGTGTGTTTAATAGGCTGCGGTGCTGACTCTTATGAGCAAAAAATATAAAGCTAATGGATTATTTGTTGTACTCTGCATAGTTCGTTTTGATGACTCTCTCACAGACATTTCAGTGCATTTTATACAATATTTCTGCCTCAACAAACTGCACTTACTGGAAAGCAAACACACATTGGATCAGCACATAAATCCATCCAGCTTTGCAATAATATTAAGGCTCTAAACCGCCTACGCCATTTTCCTATACCAACGGTCTCACTGTGTTACAAATGGTACCTGCTCCATTCAATAACATTCACCGTTATGAATGCTTCAATTTCTAGCCCTCTAATACAGGGTAACCCCTACTTTTCAATGCCATCTACAGACACTCTCCTCGTTTCAGGCCAATATAGTTGACGTGTTCGAGAGGCACTTGACTACTAAAGTACTAAAAAAGCACCAAGGGCTTCAGCTCTGTTGGCCAGTTGAGGTTACACTAAAGTATCTACAGTCTGAGGCAGAAAGGTATACTAATATATCACAACCGCATTTAATATGGACGAAGAAATGCAAAAGCACACACAGAAATTGGAAAAAAAAAACTAATATAAAAAGCCAAGAACTACACAAAGTGCAGTTCTATTTAAAACATTTTTCAACTGTAGACATCTGCACAGTTTCACTTCAACACTTTTGTTAAATCTAGCACCCAACACGTAGGATCGGTTTTTCCACTCTAAACAAAAGAAGTGGCCTGTGCTTCAGGAGGCAGACAGAATCACATGATAAGACTGTGACAAGATGACAATGTCTAGAAAGCCCAAAGGCATCTCCAGTCACCAAAGATTCCGTCTGACCTCGACTCATGCGGCTTTGCCTTCTTTTCTTTTTCCAAATACAACATGAACACGAGCAAAACACAAAGCTTGCAACAGCCATTCCACTAATGTGAATCACTCCAGCTGGGCAACAGTTGTACGCCACACTCTAATACAGACTAAACAAATACAGCTTCTGGGTACATCCTGCCTTTCATTTACTTAGCTCGGAAAAAAAAACAAAAGAACAAAAAGATTATCATGTAAAATGTGCAAGGATTATTAAGTAGATAAACCTGTTTCAGGCTCTAATGTCTTAAAATGTTCTTCGGACATGATGCTGCTTCTCTCTACTGTTTTCATCCTCTTAATTTTGCATATACAGTTTACCCTCATAGCAAGGGTTCAGGTGACAGGCTAGAAATGGATTAATCATTTAATGGGGGCCAAAGTAGTGTTTATTGATGCTTCACAGTCCACTTATTAATCATTTAATGACTGTAAACATCACTTGCAACTACATATTATTAACTGATGTCACACAGCAGATGTGAGTTACAGCATCAGTTCTTGAGGTTTAAATCTTTACTAAATCAGTAAGACACTGTACACTCTATGTTGGAATAATTTTTCAAATTACATTGCAATTAGAAAAAAAAAGCAGACAGTTAAACATTTGGGTTTGATATTTGCTTGAACCAGATTCACGCACACACTCAAGTAAGCTCTGCATGGCCTCTAGTTTGGTTTCATCTACCGCAAAAATGAAGCGATTAAGGTAGATTATATTTGCCATGTTTATGCCATTCAAATCAGGAATGAGGACTCCCAGCTCACGATGCACAGCCTCTCTAAAATCTCCTTTTAGCATCCCGTATTCCCGGAGGTTTTGGCCCCTGTCTGTGTGCATTATGAATTCTGGTCTCTTGATGGCTTAGCTGTGTTTGAACACTTTTATACTCCACAGCCAAAGGCTCTCTGCAGAGGCTGACATTTCTATCCTGTGTTTCGAAACCAGTTGCTAAAAATTACAGGTTTTGCTGTGTGATGATTTGCTAAATAACAGCTCACTTTATGCAGTAAGACAAATATTAAGCTACAAAAACTGCACCCACTTCACGTGACAAGTGAAACGACAACTGATGCAGTCGGACTTGACGTGGTGAAACGATTACGAACGATTATTCATGCTTGACTGTTAATCTCACACAGTAAAAATCTGTTATTGTGCTTTGCAAGGCCGTAATAGTAAACACAGCTTTTGTGGTGTATACATATGAGGTGTGAAAACAGTGGTATATGCTGACAGATGTTCCTCCTCCTCCAAGTGATCACAGAACCATGTTTTTTTTGTTTTGTCTAACATTATAACTGCCATTATCTGCTCCATTTTAATGCCACGGAATGCTGCTAACGCTGCTTATCTCAGCCTTACAACTGCATGGAATATATCTCACTGTGACTGGTTACTTACCTGTTGACACATTTCATCTGTATGCAAAACGCCAACCACCTTGTCAACCCCCAAGGCTGTGGGGTTTGGAACTAACTTTTCCCACAGTGCAACAGTATTCACTATTATTCACCAGCTCTTCCTGCAGCATTTTCTTACTGCTGCATTGTAATGTACTGCATGTTATTTCCTGCACTGCCTTACAGCAAGAAAGAGTGACACTGGTATATGTTTTTCTAACTAAGAACATTGATAAATACTAATGTGCATTACCTTTATGTACGAGTGTAAGGGGTAGATACAACCTTTTAGATGCTAGGAGACGGCGTTGAGGAGATACATGTCTTCACGCCAAATCAGTTACACCATCACACCCATGTACCAGGCCCTGTCAAAATCACTATGAAATCACTGAGTGTAATTAAAAGACGGCTTTAAGTGAGCCATCTGTAACCCTCCTACACATATGCTCAGTCTGAAACCCCATGAGACTCAGATGGTGTGTGAGGTTAAGTTTTCAATGTTTGGTGATAAAGCTGCTCTTTCAGGGACCATGTCACAGTATTTTTTTTCTTTTTTTTTTCTTCCCGCAATTCAGCTCTTCAACTCCAAATATGCCACTGCTGACCATTTTCCAAATGCAAACAGTTGCTTTTTTCCTGAATGGGTTTTTTTGTTTTTTTTAACCCAAGCAGCCATTAGTGTCCACACTGTTTATAATGTAAGAAGCTGCCAAATTCACATTCACGCTGTGATTCTCAAGACATAAAATGTATACATACGGGCATATACAGTATGAGCTTTTCAGCAGCTGACTCCCACGTCTGCGATGCCTGAGCGTCCTACCAGTGCATGACTGTACCACACCGCAATTCAAGTATTAAAAGCAAGCTGTGCTTCCAGCTGCCTTATTGCACAATATTAATTGCTCACCGAAGAATTATTTCTAAATTATTGGCTGTTTGTAGCAAATTTCAGGTTTGGTTGATTTTCACGCCATTTACACTAAACTAATAGCTGCCTGGGAAAAAAATGGAAATTTTTTGAAAACAGCAAAGTACTTATTTATTTATTTGCAGTAAATGTGTTAAAACATGCAAGGCAGGTATTTTTCTGTTATCTTTATCTCACATTTGACTTGAGTGTCCTCTTTTTGTCCTCTTCTCTTTCCATGTCAAAGACGATGAACCAGTTGGAACCATGTAAGTAAATACATGCTTGTAGTGCCGCACATGAAATTCACATGGAAATCCTGGTTTCTGTGATTTGAATGCCTGTTACCTGTAGGTCACTAAATCATAACTGCTTCTTTCCTAGGAAAACAAATTCAACAAACAACCACAAGGACAAAAATATTCGCCAGAGGAATACAAAATAAGCAATTTACTCAAGTAAGCACTGTTGTAGGGGATGGGGGCTAAATATAGAACTGACTGTGAGGATTATCCATAGTCACGCCTTCTCTTGATTTTCTCTCCACAGATGAGATGGCTAAACTGCATTTTTTTGACTACATGAAGGTATCAGAGATGGATAGAGCTCCGGGCAGTTTTGAAAAAGCATATCTTGTCTCATTTTATGAGAAACAATATCAGCATAACACTGGCAACAAAAAGAACATAATGGCTGTCTTAAGCATGCCTTATTCAGTCTTACGTGGAGAATTCAGGATGACGAATAATGACTAAAACCACCACAAAGGTGTACACATTTTTAATGTGCTGTTGATGTCTCCTTCATTAATTTTATCATGTCCTCAAATGAGGTGATCCCTTTTGTATTACATATCATGTACAATGCATGCAAGATAATTACGCAATAGGATACTCAGAATAGACATTTTCTGTTGTTATCCCTCGTGTGGCTTTTTTTGCATCCAAAATGACCTATGTTTTTTATGGAGTCATCCTTGTTTTATATATATATGTATATATATACATATACATACATATATATGTTAGTTTTATTCTTGGAAATTTGTACAGCATATCATGGTCATTTAACTATATTTGATTTGTGACAAGTCTACTTTTAACAGAAATTTTATTGTGAAGCAAGGGCTTCAATGACTGGCAGTATTTAAATTTAATTGAGAGTGCTTACAGAAAAATGATTACTGTGTGTTTAACTATCTTAACGAAAATGATATGTGTATTATTTTTATTTTCTTTCCAGAGTAACTTAGATGTCTCGTATATGTTGAAGTATGAGTGTTCAAATGATAGGAAATCTGTAAAAAAAAAAAAAATAACAATAATATTTTTTTTATATTTCCCAATTCCATTAATTGATTTTTATTTTTTATTTTTATTTCTCTTTAACTGTATAGCATGGCTATAATCCTATGCAATATGTATTCTTAAATAGATATATGGAGGGCAGTTTGTTTTACTCAGTGAAGCTTTAATATTGTGGGATCACTTGGAAGCTGGCATAGCAAAATTCACTGCTGTAGCTGCATGACTCCTCTTTCAATACAATGTATCCATGTGTGTTGCGGTGGAAATGGACCTGCATTAAGATGGGAACAGAGGGACCAGAGTATATAGCCACGATCAAACATATGAGTGAGACCAATATTTTTTTTCTGAATAAAAAGTTGAAAAATGAATCCATGTTTTTTTTTTTTTTTTTTTTTGCAAGTCTTCTTACCGACTAAATCCAGTACTATTAAAAGTATGCTCTTAAGGCCATATACCATAACAAATAATGTGTAACAGCGTATTAGAGAACACCAGCAGCACAGCAAGAAATGCTCCACCACCAAAAGGTACTGCCTACACAAACTGTATAAGAGCAGAAAACACACACACACACACTGCACTGACTTGACCTTTCTGCTTTCAGCTGTTGTTAAGATTCTTTACTCTTCAAGCACTTTCTTCAGTTCCCCTTCCATCTTCTCTACAAATGCATAAAAGCTGGGATCCAACAGACAAACACGCAAGATGGACTCCAAGTCACCTTGTGCCAAAGGACTGTGATGATACATTTGAGGCAGAGTCAAAGCAGCCTCTCCCAAGAAGTGCTGTCGAAGGTCAAGAGGATATTTCAGTAAAAATCAGATTGAAGACGCTGATTGAGTAGCCTGTGTTAAAATTTATGATTTAAGCAAATTTAAATGAAAGCCATGTGCCACATGAAAATCAATAAAAACACTGTGCTCCTTGGTTAACCCTGCAGTGCGGAGTTTTTATCTGGCGCATTCGCAACTCCAGGTTTTTACACCATACTCCTAGTTGTGTAGTCTACTCTGTCTCTGTTGCTGTAGCTGCTTCCCTCCTCAGCTCTGGCAAATCAATCACTGCTGACTGATGTAAACATATTGCTACCGGTGCACCAGCGCAGGAATGTCACCACGGAAATCAAATTAGAAACCCTGGTATACTGTGAAATACAGAGAGATTTACCTGCCACTAATAGGCTTAATCAGCACTATGTGAGTTTTTTTTTCTGGCAAGAGCTTGAATGTGACATTCATTTATATATCCAGGTCCCCTAGTCTAGCTTTAAGCTTAACACAAAATTACAATTAACACAGCAATTGTTTAATTATGTTAGGTGTTAGCTTTACACGACCTGCTGTTCACTGTCTTTCACTTGTTGCAATCAATACCTGGGTAAGGCGCTTGATGGACAAAGATCCTTGCACAACCTCAGGCTCAACTCCCACAGCCTTCGCCTGACAAGTCTGCTACTAGCACAGGATGACACACACAAAGGAAGAAAAAAAAAAGATTTGACAAACACGACATGAAACCACAAGGTTAAGAGACCAATCAATGGCTTCATTACTAATTGAAAGATATCCACCCCTCAAAGCCCTTTCATCTTCACTGTGAACTCCTTCAGTGTGTCTGTTCGCTAAAGGTCAGCTTCAGCCCCACAGTGGACTCCATTCCGCTCTCAGTCCTTCATGTTTAAAGCTGTTAAGCCTAGAAAAGCTGGATGTAAGTTTCACCTCAGAATCCAATTTGTAATTACCCATATGTTGTGACTGTTTTCAGGTTTGACAATAAATAAAAACGTGACTGAAGTCAATTAGCAGAATAGAATAATAGAGCAACAACAATCTCATTCCTACAGTATGTCACTGAGAGTATAAATATCAACTGCTTAAATGGCTTAGTGCCATGCTTTCTTGTTGTTGGTAGTTTTTAGCCTCGGGAGATAAATGTTTGTTTTCATAATTAGCAATGTGATTGCTGAAAGCAATATTAAGAACTAATTTTCTGAGTGGCTTAAGGGCTATGCCATTTTAATAGTTGTATTTATACATTAATGAAATGGTTGTTTTACATTTCTCTCCGTGGTTGTGTGTTTGAGGTGGAGCATGCTGTATTCTACACCACATCTTGTACTGTGATTGGCTGAAGATTCATACACATTGTATAGTGTATCTCACTCCACCTACTGTATCTGTCGTGTCACCTCTAATCATAAGACAATGTTGTACGTAGCACCATCTAGTGGCAATAACATGGCCACTGCTGATGAAGCTGACCACAGCTTTGTGACACAACCACTGTCTGAATAAATCAGAGGAATGCATCTAAGATAACTTCAGTAACGGCATTTAGCATTATATCATTTCTAAATTTACAAAATGCAATAAATGGTTATACAAAAGATCCTTCACAAAACTTTAACAAATCAAAACTACAGCAGGAAGAAATAAGTGTTAACTCTTTGATGCTGTACAGCCACATGCTTAAAACTACCATCTATTTTGGGGATTTCTAGAAATAAGTGATTCGTGCATCAGCGCCGGTTTCGATACGGAAATCGTATTTGCTATAATGGACGGTGGGCAACCTGTGTTGCTGGTGCAGGGACCTCAGCGGGGGGCTGATTAGGGTGCAGTGGGACGTCATCCTGAGTAGTGACAGGCACGTACTCCATCAGCTTTTTCACAGCACTCGAACACTCATCTATGGCCACGGCTCTGCTCCTTCCATCAAACTGCATCCTCATCATGCGGCTTTCTCCCTGCAGAAATCCACAAATACACTCAGTCTGTATCTGTCAGTATAAACTGTGCCAATGAAAACACAATCTGTGGTTTGTGTGTTTCCTTTGTGAAATCAGAATCTCATTAAGAAAAAAAAACAAAAAAGCTTGGGTATACAGAGAGACTTAAAAGGAATATTCATCCATCTGAACTGTGAGGCAGGCGTTCTAGTGTATTAGTGGCTTTGATTTTTATTTTTTTTATAGTAATTTAATGGTTTCTTGTAAGGACTGGTAGGCTGTTAGGATGGACCTTGAAATAAACGCTATCAACTGTATGAAATGGACTTACCTGCACAGTAAATCGAAATAACAGGCTATCAGACTTCTGATGTACTTTGAGGGAATCAGAGGCACAGAGCAAAGGAATTGTATCCTGGAAAAACACAAGACAAAAAAAACATCTTTAGCAGGAAATAAAACCTTTTTTTTTCCCATTGGTGACTTATAGAGAACATTAACATGTTTGTTGTTGTTGTTGTTTTTAAAATACAAATTACTGGATCACAATTAAGTACAAAATAAATCATTATAGTTAGAAAGCTGATAGGGAAGAAAAAAAAAAAGTTACCCAAAGCTGTCTGCAGGGGTCTCTATTTACTCAGTAACCTCTGAGCTTCAGTTGTGAGGATTATGTTAAGCTTTGTTCACAGAAGCAGGCATCAAGCAACAAGCAAACAATAGTCTGTATTATGATTTTGTCGAAAACACTTCACAATTACATTTGTTTTGACTTTAGAAATAAAAATGTAGTTATATCAAGTAGATTTGAACGCCTGCACTGTGCCACGGCATATTCTGAAATGTAGCACTTAAAAAAAACAAAATAACATCTTTACAACTGACAGCATTATAATGCAAAGTAATTTACGGGTGGTAGAGCTTGTTATCTGCAGGATGTCCACATTCTTCATTACATACCAGTTATGGACACATTTCTTAGATATATATATGAAGTCTCATTAAAATTCAAACTTGACCAACTGTGCTGCTTCCAATTAATTAATGGAAAATCCTTAATATATGTGTGTGGAAAAATCTGACACATGCGGAGGCATCCATACAGGGCGCCAGGGGTCAGGAAATGGCTCGACGAGTATGAAAGGGATGTAAATCATGTTCTACGGCATGTACAGTCACCAGCTCTGTCATGGTTGAAGACAATTTTTAGATGAATGTGTGAGATGTTGCTTTCAATCTTTTGGAAAAAATGGTTTATTAAACCTATGAAAGTGGTCAAACTCAGAGATTTAGTGCCAAGGATCTCTGGAGCTGATCTGATGGCTCAAAGTGAACCAACTCTTAACTGAAACAAATAGTTTTTTCCTTTAAATACATTTAAAGCTTTATTTTCAAGATGCACAAATTCAAGACAAGACGGATGCATTTACAGACAGTTTTTGTTGGTTGATTTGTCAGGAGCATCTACATTCTGAGTTGACCACTGAAGATCCTTAGTTACCCCCTGATTCTCTCCAATACAGCAAACATGAGCTACGTTCAAAGACAGTTCGGAAATTTCCCTTCAAACCTTATCATAGCCGATAGGTCGAAGCTCTCCGTGTTGAAAGTTCCTGAGCATTCACTGCACCAATCTATAATAGACCAGTCTATCATCCTCAGTGAAAGCCCTCTGCAGTCTGACCTGAATATCTGTCTGGCTCGGCAACCTGGCACAGCAAGATAGCTGTCTCCTGCCAGAACACCATTAATGAGACATTGAGTAGTCCCCAAAATTTCTGTTGTCTGCAGGGCAGAGTTAACTTTTCATGTCTGCACGTGAACTTTACTACCAAGTAAAAAACATTTTCATAAAAATGTTAGCAAAGCCTGAAGAGGTTTTGGAGTTTTTTGTGAGCCTGAACCTGAACATTTTACCAATAATATTCTTTACGTGATTTTGAACCAATACCGAAGAAGTTTGGTAGAATATTTAGCTGGACCCAGTTGAGACGCTGCAGTCAAACCCCAACAGACTTTAGCAGAAATGTCAAGAACTTCAGCAGAATATTTCATATGGCTTTCATCGAAGATTTTTTATCTGGAAAGAGGATTTCTGTCATTGATTCTGCTCAGGGTGTCATTTTTCCTGTTATGTGAAAAGTATAATAATAATAAAAAAAAAAAGGCTATTACATACTACATACACATTTTAAAATGAACACTAAGCATATTGTTTTATTCTAATGTTTCATGTTTTACAAAGTTCTCAGCAATTTCCCTGAGGTTTCCACCAAAGGGATCAATAAAGTTCTATTCTATTCTATTCTATTCTATTCTATTCTATTCTATTCTATTCTATTCTATTCTTAGCATAAATATAAAAGCACAAAAACAGAAAAACTACAATGGAGGGGATATTATAAATGTCTCTCTTGTTGAAGAGGGTGGCACGGCAGTCATGTTTGACCACAAACATCATTTTCGCTCAGCTTAGCTACTAATTAATGGAATTCATATGCAATGTTCCCCCCATATGGAGACGGACAACCAACAATAACAACTGTGACATACTATAAATTGCCAGTGTTAGAGCATGACATTTGCAGCTGCAGCTTTAAATGATTTCTGAGAAGTCCCCTATAGGTACAATTTGTTTTTCTGAAGTACATAATTTCATGTCAAGGTACATTGCACCAACTTGGCAACAGATTGAGCCTCAAGTGAACGTGAACGTCTGAACGAATCGATGTATCCTGCAGAAGAGCTGCAACACAATTAAACCTGTTATTTCTTTGTGTTCATGTGACTTAAGTTTTAATGTTGATCTTTGTCGAAATGTAATTAAAATTTAACTTTTTTTTAACCACAAACTTTGTTAATCTATAATAACACATCTTTCAAAGTACTAGTAAACTGTACAAAATAAACATCCCTGATCTCGGTGTTTTATTGGCTTTTATTCTCTTTTCCTGAAAGGTCAAGCCACGAACACAATGCTTCATATAAGAGTTCGGCTCCACTGTGATTCCAGTTTGAATCAGCAGCGTGTTGAATTACATGCATGATAACAAAACCCTTCACGTTTTTCAGAAAATTGCAAACAAAGAACTTAAGTTTTTAAGAACATCCTTCACACCGCCAACAACTCCATCCATAAGGCTGGATCAAAACACACAACGTAGCAGGATCTGGAAAACAAAGCTTATTCTCCAGCTGTTGTGTACATGCCAAAGGGGACAATCAGTGAAAACAAATACAAACAAACACACAATCAAATAGCCACACAGTCTCCTTACCAAGCTTTCTTGTCCTTGCAATATCAGCAAGTATCCCGACTCCACTATTGTGAGGACAATTGCAGGTTTGCCACTCTTGGCCTCAAATACCTGATGACGAGAAAGAATATTACTAATTAGTTTTCCTGACAATGGCTCTATGCATACACACTGTAGGAGGGTGTTTGGTTTAACAATAATACGGGTAACCATTGCAGATTAAGGGAAAAGGACACAGTGTTATATGGATAGCATTATATAGTTAGCTGTAAAGCTTCTGGGAGCTATCGAGCACCTGCTTTGAGAACCTACATTATAATACACTCTGGACTTTGTGGTGTTTTTTGAAATTGGATTAAAATGTTCCTCAAAAAGGTAAACTACCTAACGAGGACCATAGGTACCAGAAATAATGTATGAAATCTGTCTTTTGGGTCGACTGTAATTGCCCTTGAACTAATTTTAAATAAACAGTTTTGAATGTTTTCATGAGGCGTACTGTACAATGTACTTTGGTTTCACAGCTACCTGCTCCTGTCTTCACACACAGCTCCAGCTTGCCATCTAGAGCCTGATGCAGTTAATGAAAGATGAAGCCACAATGGATTCCCTCCTTTCCAGACTTTCTACTAATTTGAAACTCAATTTGAAAGCAACTTGAAATTTAATGACAAAATGAAAATAATATGACTATGAAATGACAGGACCTGATTATGTGTGACATTAGAAGGCAATGCAGACTCCCACTCATCCTCCACACAGCATTATATTATCATTGCCAGTACAAGACAGATTCACCTTCCCACGACGGAGTTTTCCTGGATTATGACACCTTTAGGGGCAGCTTTATATAAGCACTACAAGTAACTACATAAATTAGCTTTCCTCAAACTCCCCTATCAGACTTACTTCCTCAGTTTCATGTAGAATGCTCAAGAATTACTGAATCAGATGGCTACAAAAAGTCTTGCATTTATTTTCTTACTAACGTATTATTTACAGCATTGTATCAGCATTTTTGCTTTCACAGATATTGACTCCTTTTGCATTACTCTGAATAGACTACTGTTGAATTTTCAATCTATTTCTGGAGATTTGCTGCCGTGTCTTGGAGTGCATGTGAGTATTTTGTTTTTTTGTATCAGCCACCATATGAATACCAAAACTGAATTTAAAACAGAGCTGGGAATCACTGCAGAACTGAGTAAAGCTTCAAACAAAAAGTCTTGAAACACGGATTCTCCAGCATGAACTCAAAAAGGCAACAGCCTTCATTTTTAGCTTCATGTTCAGATTCCCAGATGAAAGCTGAATGCAGGAACAATGGCCTTTTGTTCATTTTCACATTATATTTGTTAGTCATAAGTTTAGAAGACCTAATCCCACATTACCATTTTACAACCTATGCTGACTACACTTTTATACCAAAGTTACAATAACCAGACTTCTGTTTGATGACCAACTGTGGCTGTGTTTACAGTAAATGCACATATTTCTTTTGATAATATGAAAATACTTTAATAAACTTTATCATCCTTTGTTTAAATAGCTGGAAGAACACATCAATTCATATTTACTCATACGTTTTTATCATCCTGTTTGTGCATATTTAGAGTTTAACTACCTTGGTAACCAGAAAGCAACAAAACAACAATAAATAATTATATTATATTCATAAAAATATAATGGCAATATACATATATGTGAAAAAAGGTTATGTGCTTATAAAAAAATATATAGCAAAAATAATTTGGGAAACTTTTGACTGTCCATTTGAGAGAAGATTAGGATATATAAGGATTTTAAAGGTAAAAGAAAAATAAAATGTTAGCTAAAGCTGCTAAACAAGGAAGCCGCCCTTCATGTCACCAGCTGTATGCTAGCTAGCAGGTATGTTCAAAGTAAAAAAACAAGTTAACAATATCTAAAGTACATTTTAATTCGTATGTATGTTTGCACACACCAGTGGTATAATGAGACCACACACCTGCCATGACGGTAGCATTTAGCCGCTAGCTAAAGCTAAACCGCGCGACGCTAAATACAACGAGGTTAGCTTAAACAGAAACGGCTAGTTTGGCTAGTTAGCGCAACGCCGTTCATTAGCTACCTAAATTACCTTCCAAGGCTTTCCTCCTGTTTCTCTGAAGGAGGGGACGAAACGCCCGTAGCGTTTTAACCTCCATGTCATGGTGGAGGTCATTTCTAGCAAATATGCTGTCGAGACAAGGTAAGTTTGTTGTATGCTGGCAAAGCAACTCGTTAGCTGTTAGCTTCCAGCTCAGGAGAGTTTGAGTGACTGTTGACGTGATAGATAGAAAGTCTGGATAACACAGTTAAGTATTTGACGTTAATAGCTTTTTACCTTTGAATTATTACTGTCTTTATGTTGTAAGACCATGCTTAGAGGTTTACGCAATTTGGTATTTACATTACATTTAATTACATGATTATTCTTATTACATTATTTATATTTGTCTGGATGTAACACGTGTGAGCCAATGGATGACTTGAATTTCTTCTTCTATCTATCTATCTATCTATCTATCTATCTATCTATCTATCTATCTATCTATCTATCTATCTGTGAGGCTGATACAAAAACAAAACACTCCCATGCACTTCAAGAGAAACACGTTTTTGTTGTGTCATCTCTGTATTCCAGGTAAATTGTATAATATGCCACAGTGGTGAAAAGAAAATGACATTACAGGAACTGCTTTGACACATCACACACTTCTGTAAGAACATCGAGGTGCAGCATTATTTCCTCAGCAAACAGGGCTGGCTCCTGTCTCAACATGTGATAAACAACAACAACAACAGGTGTTTCTACATGGAAGGAGGATGTGAAACCCAGTTTGTGTTCAAGGATGACCCTCAGCCCCCGATGATCCACCGACACCTGGTGGGCGACTTTGATCCCTTCCCACTGGATGATGTGAGCCGTTTTGGTCTGGTGAGTTTTCCTATTTTTCTATGAGAACCTATTTTAAGGCGTTCGACCTACCAGCCAAAAATCTCAAGGTGTTCGAGGGTTTGTGATGAGTGCTGACTTATTTTAACCTTAAGACTCAGATGAAATGTTCCAGCGTTGCTAATTATAATGGTGGATAATTATTGGCTGTACTCCATGTAGGTGTACTGCTTTCAGGGCTCCGGTATTGTGAATGTTGACTCGATGACATGGTTCACTGGGATACGTCCTAAAGCTGGAATTATGCTATTCCGGGCTATACATGTAGGCGAATGTTCATGTGGGTCGCACACACACACACACACTTTGACTTGGCTGTCCCTTTAGTTGTTTGGTGTATGTTTAC